CTTCCATACAGTAAGAAGAGGAAGAGGATTAGGGCCACTGAAAAAGCAAAAATAATTCTAACTTTAATCTCAGATTTCTGACTTTTCCTCAGAATTTGGAGATTTAGTTTTAAAATGTCTAAGTCTACTTTTAAAAAGTCAGAATTCTGACTTTAATCTGATTTTAATCTAATTTTTTTCTGAACGTTTTCTCAGAATTCTGACTTTCATCTCAGAATTCTAGATATCTGAGAAAACAGTCATAATTTTGAGTTTGATGAGAAAAAAAAGTCTGAATCTTTTTTTTTTTTTCCCTGCAGTGGCCCTAATCCTCTTCCGTACCAAAAAAAAAAAAAAAAAAAAGTGATTAAAAAAACATTGACGGCTCATCATGCGCTACTATGAAACGGGCTCTGACACGCACGCGCAGTATCGAAGTGGGCATCAGCGCGTGACTGGTGACTTAAAAAAAAATCTTAATAATTCACTTATAAGCTGCACTTCGTTTGAAAATGACGTCGTCCACACTCGGCCGTGCCAAGGGCAAAAGTGTAACCGGGAGGAAGAGAAAAGAATCAAAGAAGAAGAAGAAAAAGCAGCAGCAGAGGAGCCACGGAGACATTCCTCTCAGAGTTTTCACTTTTCCTTCACTTGGAGAGAAACGCTGCAGTTTGTTCTAACAGCGTGAGGAGGAAAGGAGCCTTTTCATCCTGACTTTTTAATTTGAGGAAAATGTTTGTAACAACAGGTGAGTTACAAATGTTTTAAAAAAAAACTTGAGCGCAAAAGTCATGTTTGTATCTATTGAAGTTGACTGTATGAAAAACTTCTGTGGCTGAGCAGCCGAATGAATAACTATGAATATTAAACTCATAAACACCTTATTTGTTTCAGTGCTTATGTTTTAATTAGCTATCACTGATGTAGTGTAATACAAGTGTAGTTTATGTCATGGTCTACATTATTTATATTTTATTTAGAACTTATAGCATTTATTTATCCATGTAAAAGTACAATAAATATTACAGTATCATTTACAATAAAAAACCAAGTAGTTTATAAATAAACAACCAAGTCATTATGTTACTGTTCAGCATTGTCTTGCAAGACTTTCCCTTAAAATTGAAAACGGAGCGTAAAGTTGCTCCAAAATCCTGAACTTGTTTGTTTTATCATTTATTGTTTTCTAGGTGTGAAACTTAGCTTCCTACTATCCGAACAAAACAAACTTCCCAAAAGCGCAGCGATTTGAATCTGCTTCCTCGTAAGCGCAGATTCTCTGGAGAGAGTTTGCTTCGACCATGAGTGGGAAAGGCTGTCACATCCTTGTGTCTCCCTGCAGCGGGTCCCCATCACTCAGCATGATCCGAGGCCACCAGCCTCCATCCATCAGGATGCCCGTGCCTTCCCCTCAACAGAACGAGAGAGCTGACCCAGTGAAACGAGGAAGTGTTCAGTCTCTAACCTCTGGGAAACCGAGCGGAGGCCACGTCGTTCTGCCTACCTTGAGCCTCCGCAGACAAGTGTTGACCAATGGAAAACATCTGACTGGGCCGAACGCGTCCCAACAGCAACAACCTGCTCATCTTTCGCAAAACACAACAGCGACAACTAACAAACCGACAAGACTCAGCCCATCTAATCGCAGTTTCAAAGGTAAAACTAAAATGTAGCTCTACCCTACAGGGCCTGAATTAAACATAACATATCTATTGAAACAATTAACCCTAACCTCACTGTCGCTTTATCTTGTTTATTGATAATTTACCTCGCACAAAACCAGAGCATAATTTTTCTACAGGACAGAAGGAGGTAAAAATCTTATTAGTGATTAACAGAGCAAAGTGTTTCACTCTGTTTTAATTTTGCAAGAAAAATTCCACAATGTGATAAGTAAACCTTTTGGGAAATGAAGTATTGCATTTAAGTTAGATGGGCTTTTTTGTTTGTTTGTTTTTAGCTGTAACTTGTATACAATTATAGTCTTGCATATGTGAATTTTTAATTAAATGCTTGGCTTGTGTTAATCAGATTTTGCAGTCCCTGAGTCCCCTTTCGATGTATGTGGTCAGGTGCCAGGCGTTAACCTAACAGTGACCAGTAGTTCCATAGGTGCTCCCTCAGGCCAACCTTATCCTTCACTGCCTCAACCCCCGTCATGTCCCAGCATGCCAAATCCTCACACGGATACAAGGTGAGCCCTGTCAGTAAGTCTATTTGATGGCGAGCTTGTAAAATTTGTCACTAAAACAAATATTTTTCAGGTCCTTGCTGTCCAGAGAATCTCTGGCATCCACTACCCTCAGCCTGTTTGAAACGCAGTCAGTGTTTAGTGGCAAACACGACTGGCCATATGGTTACCGTGTGCTTCCTCCTGTGGGATTACCTCTCACTTGTAGCGAGGGTGGCGAACAGGTCTGCCTGTCCCCTGGAACAGCCATGTCGGGCACAACCATATCAGGCGGCACGAGCACCTCTGCCTCCCTGCCTTCTTACCTCTTTGCCGTTGAGGCCGGAAGCCCCCGGCAGTCTCGTGCAAAGAAGAGAGCTCTCTCCATGTCACCTTTGTCAGATGTCATGGGTATCGATTTTAACGCTATTATACGCACCTCGCCGACCTCGCTTGTGGCTTACATCAACGGTTCCCGCAGCTCTCCGTCCTCTCACTTCACACTCTCACCTGTTCATTCTGAAGGATACGGTCATTTCCTGGGGGTGAGAGGTCGATGCATACCCCAGAGCCATCACTACAACATGATGAGCTCTTCGCAAGCTCTGGCCCCACAGTCAGAGTGTGGCCGCATGCAGATGCTTGAGGAGGAAGGGGATTTGGAGGGCCAGATGGCTAACATGATGGTGGCACAGCAGTGCCTTCCAGATGAGGGTGGGATTCTGGAGACGACATCAGACAACTGTAGCCAAACCTTCAGCAATGTCCTGCCACCTCTACAGTTAGAGCCGGCTCTCACAACTGTCCAAGAAGTTGCTGTTCCACAAAGACCTCCACCACCTTACTACTCGCACCAACACATAAAGCTCTCCAGGCATCACAGGAAAGTGAAGGCACCTTGTCAGGACCCTTTCATGCAGGTTCCTATGCATCCTCACAGACACGGAGTTGGATTTTTACCCCAAATTCCAATGTTGGAGGAGGAAGAAGGTGAGATGGAGGACTATGGCACCCATTGCTGCAGGTGGATGGACTGCAGTGTAGTTTATGACCTAAAGGAGGAGCTGGTAAGGCACATAGAGAAGATACATGTAGACCAGCAGAAGGCTGAGGACTTCACGTGCTTCTGGGTAGGATGTCCACGCAACTTAAAGCCGTTTAACGCCCGATACAAACTTCTTATCCACATGAGGGTCCATTCAGGAGAGAAACCCAACAAATGCTCGGTACATGTTGCATACATGTCTATTACAACTCATCTTTCTGAATTCTATATTCTTATTTCTGTCATTTATTTAAAAACTTACTTGTAGTGTTTTTCCTTGTTGAACGCATCACATATTTAGCACAGCTTCCTCTCAGTCAGATTAATATTCTTTTCACTCAGATGGAAAATGAATGACTGAATGACAGAGCTCAGTTTGAATCTGTTCGTGTCATTCAAAGCAATAGTACCTACGGTAAATGGATATTTTAAAACTTTGGGTTATCAAAAAAAGCCTTTATCAGGGTAAATGCCTTCCTATACTATGATATTTAGCCAAGGTTTAGATCAAATATGGCCTCACTCCCCTTTTAACTTTAGCCGTGGTGCAATTAACAGAGATCTGTGACAACTGGCAAGGGAGTTAACTCAATTATATTGTTATTAAATAAGCACAAAGGAGGTCCAGCACTTTCGATTTGGCATGGCACAATGAGCCTTTAGAAGCTTTTGTGGCCGTCAGCAGCCATGGCTTCACCGGTCCTCTGTCTAACAAAACTTGGCTGTCGGTCTTGGGAAGGTTATGCCCCGTATTCCAGCTCTCTACACATTTGCGTCTTTGGCCAGAATGAGAGAGAAGGAGAACTAATCCTTTTTTTTTTTTTCAGCTGTTAAATTAAAAATAACTGTAGCTTGGTTACTACAATGCGGGTGCTAATTTTGGCTACATTGCTTTTTCACTTTAGTCCAGCACCTTCAGAGACGTGTGTTTTGCTTAAGCCACCTAACTCTGACCTAAGAATCATTCTGGAAAAAAAATAATCCCCTTCACTCACAGAATGAACCTATTGTGTACACACAACTTTGCAAGAAATATTTTAAATGGGATTTATTTCTTCAGATTAGTTGATTTTATCTTAAACACATCAGGAAAAAGGCAAGAAAAGCCCAACATTGCTTCCACAGACCCATGCAACCATCAACACCGCAGATTATTTATAGACCGTACTGTCTCCTTTGTCTGTTCCTTTTTCCTGCTGTGAAAACATTTGAGACTTGGATGAGTAATTAACAAACCACCGGCCAAACACGCTTCATGTTGGTGCTTTCAACAAGCTAATTATTAACATCATGCATACCTGCCGCCGACCTTCTGCTCCAAAATACTTACTTATTAGTTGAAGCTCTGTTGTCATGGTGCTGCCGTTCTCGGCGGGTTTCTATGTTCTCTGTAATTATTCAATGAAGAAAGATTTACAATCACATCTTATTACCAAACGGAGGAGTTATACGTGTTTGTTGAGCTGTTAAAATCTTGAGTGTGGAAAGAAAAAGTTGCATTTTTTTTTCTCACAAGTCATCTGACTTTAATCATGTATTTTCAAGTCAGAATGCTAATGGTTTAGGCCTTATCTTTCCTTTCTTTAATGTAATTTCTCAAACTTGAAGGTTAAAATATCCACACAAATGGATGGAAATGTAAGGTACAATTTTTCTCCAAAGATGATTGGTAGATAAATAGTCAGTTGAACACGAAGGTCTCCAGCTAGCAGCACAACAATGAGCTCTTGTTACACAGTGGATATAGGGCACTTCCAGACTCATACCTGTTTACAGACAATTAAACAACTTCTTCATAAATTCTTGACCCATTTGGATTTGAACATAGAGAAGCACTGATTGTCTGTATTTAAAAGAGTTTAACAAATGTGAAGCCAGTTGTAATTTTTGGACAAGTTCTTTAGATACATCACATTTTGCTGTTTGCATGGATTGCGGGTATAAATTGACCTTTTCCCTGGAAGTAGTAGTTTTCTATTGTGGCTCCCTTGTCTTTGAAACTCTGCTTTCTGATTCTCAAGTGACAGCAAAGCCCAGACTGTTCCAACAGTCTGGGGTTTTTGATTTTCAATTTTCTTTTCTACTGTTGTTTACCACATTGATGGCATAGTGGTTAGTGTTGTCACCTCACAGTGTTGAAATCTCTGGTTTAATTCTTTGGTGTACATGAGTTTCTACACAGTTTGCATGTTCTCCCCAGTTTTAGGTGGGTTCTTTTCTGGTATGAAACTAAGTAGTAGTAAGCAAAAAATGGCGGAGGGATCTTTGCAATGGGAGTTGGGATTGTTTGGTGTTATTTTGCTGAAAGAAGCAAGATCTTCCAGTAAAAAAAATAATAAAATGAGCAAATAACATGGATATATAATACTGTTTGTGATGGACTTGCAACCAGTCCAGGATGTATGCCTCTCAAACAATGACTGCTGGAGATAGACACCAGTGCCCCAAAGAAAGTATGTGTAAAGAAAATAAATAGATGGGTGTTACTGTGTGGAAAAGGGTGATTTAGATTGTTCTGCTAGAGTACAAGCAGCATTGCCCCGTTTTTAAAATTTTGTTATCTTTTGCTCTTGGTACGGCAATCATGTGATACCATGAAAACATCCCTAGTTTATTTACTATTATTGCATTTTAAAACAGTTGAACAAAAACCCATGTATTTGTATTTGGATGTTAAAAATGGCATAAAGAGTGTTTTAAATAAGAAATCTAAAGCTGTGAAAGTAAGAAACCTTTTTACAGAAGAAAGAAGGTGAAACCAGAGGGCAAAGATGCACACATCACTTGTAAAACGGGGCGTAGTGGGATTCAGAGTGATCGGGCCTCAGAGTGGGAACTGGGCACTGGGCTGAGTTGGCTGGCACAGTCTGCTGCTGTCATTGTTCAGCTGGGACATGAGTACCTGCCAGGACCTGTCAGAAGTTGGCTGTGAGACTGAAGAGCCACTCTGCTTTCCTGTTCAGACCTCAACCGATCCTTGTGACTAAAAAAGTCGCCTTCGCGAGTGCTTTGTGACGACACAGAGAAGCAGAGAGTGCCCACCTCTGGACCAGCCTGGAAGTTTGCCAGCTTTTTTGGCTCTATGTTGAGTCTCACTTGTCTGGCCAGTTTGGTGCTAAGAGACTTTTTATCTTTGTCACTTCTTTTATTACCAAGCAGGTGACTTTGTTTTTTAACCCATTTCCTTAGACGCTTCTTAATTCGAATATATTCTTCTGCGTAAAGAGGAGTGGCATATCTAAATCAAAAAGAGCACCAATTCTCTCATGAAAAGGAAGAAAACGTGAAGCATTTCTTGTTTTTGTCTTTTGCTGCATTTTCAATTTACTAAATTGAAATTGACCAAATATTAGGAATGTTTCTATATTCTGCCTCCATGTAACATGAAAAAAAAGCTGTTTGGCACAACATTGTTCTTGTTCAATAGCTCTCCTGGAAAACAAAATGTAATGAGATTTTTTTTTATTTTATTTTTCAAGTTCAGTTGCACAAACAAGATGAGTTCCTTTTGAGTTACCTTGACAAGCAAGAACAGTTGTATTGAGAGAGAATGGCGAGCATTTCTAAATCTGGAGGAGTTGGGGGAGTTCATTTGGCTTCAGCAGTTATGACTAAGAGGCAGTAGTATGTGAGGAATCCAGTCTTGGAAGGAAAAAAAACAATATTAGATATGGTCTGTGTGTTTTGTCCATGAGGCTTAGTCAGGGCATACCAAACGCCCTCCTCCGCTACCCTCCCCAACCCCCTGGGGAGAGGGCAATCGTGGTTCTGGACTCTCAAAGAAAAAAATTTTGCTTGAATGATTCAGATTTTTCAGCGGTGAAGTCACAGGTCACATAATACTGCAACACGCTGTTTTCTTGCCCTGGTTGACTGAGCATTATGAATCTGTTGTAGATGGTTTACTAAAAGTGACTTATTTTGTTAATTGATTGCTGCCAGTTGCTGCCAAGGTGATGCAAGACAGAGGATTGAAAGCACAAAGCAGTGCAGTCATGCATGTATACATACTGACCCCTGCTGGTCACAACATATTTAAGTCAAATCTGAAATTTGTGTGACACGTAAAATACATAGAAAAAGAAAAGAAAAAGAGCCTCCCAAAAACTTTAAACATTGATTCCCATAATTAAATCTTTGAACCATTTCAGTATAAGTCACTGTAATGATATATCAGTGTGACAGCAATGCCATGCATGTCATCTAAATGACACAGTTTTCTATTCAGAAGGGGTCTCTATTTTTCCCTTTTCATTCCTTCCCACACTTTGAGGTTAGGAAGCTTTTGTTTCCTTGCAATTTTCAGCAAATATCACAAGAACATACACACAAAATATGCTTGTCTATTTTTTTTATTCTTTGGTTAAACATGTTTCAGATTTAATTTTGAATCTGAAATAAAACAGTCTATTTTGCACTAAAAATATCCTCCTGTGGAGCCATCTCAAGGGGGAAAGAAATAAATTTTAATAAGGCTTGAATTTGAAAAACTGCTATTTTGTTGGCCCTGTCCTGCTTCAACCACACTTAAAAGTGTTTTTGTGCTCTTTTCAGTTTGAAGGCTGCAACAAGGCTTTCTCCCGGCTCGAGAATCTGAAGATACACCTGCGCAGCCACACGGGTGAGAAGCCCTATCTGTGTCAGCACCTCGGGTGCCGCAAGGCCTTCAGCAACTCAAGCGACAGAGCTAAACACCAGCGCACGCACCTGGACACGGTGAGTAGCCACACGAACACATGGCTAATTATGAACGTTATTTTAATCCTTTTGGATCAGTGCAGAACTCACATATGTTGCTGTGGTTGTGCAGAAACCATATGCGTGCCAAGTGCCGGGATGCGCAAAACGTTACACTGATCCCAGTTCATTAAGGAAACACATGAAGTCCCATTCTACTAAAGAGCGGCAGTTACGAAAGAAGGCAAGTTACCACTTTTAACCTCTAACAGAAAAAAGTCTCCCCAACATATGCCACACATTTTGTTTTATTTATTTCACTCATTCTAATTATTTCACTTGAATGGCTTTCGATCCCACTTAGTCGGCTCTGCAAGTTAACTGTACAGAGATAACCATCACATTTAATTAAAGTTGTGCATGCAGTCAGAAATATGCAGCAACATAGTTTGTCATTTGATACATGACCCTTGGTTAACAGAGACAGAAAAAGATTTCACAAAATTACATTTGTTTGGTTTATTTTCCTGTTACGATCCACTTCATTGGGAAGTGTAGTTATTTTAGCACGGCAGTGAAAAATATGGGATTTTCACACGTGTGTGACAAAGGCTCTTTTACTTAGGTTTGTGTAACCATAGATACAAAGAAGGTGAGTTATTATTTTTTTATTAAAAAGGGTTTTAAGTTTTAAAAGTCTACCACGTGTTCGGCTCTTTTCATGTTTAAATCTGCAATAGATATGTTTGCTGTGATGAATGAAGAAGAATTATTGAATGTTGCATTTCTTATGTACCAATACTATTACAAAAATCTAATTTGCAGGTTGTAAAAAAATAAAAAAATCTTGTAAGCATCTGGAATGCTTCGAGAATAAATGTGAACAAGCAAATTTTTGGGTAACTAAATACCTGCCCTGAGGAACACTCTGAATATCAGCTCGGAGGATTTGTAGCTTATACATAGCAGCTCCAACTCCGGGATTTTTATTTTATTGTATTTATTTTTTTGGTTGACACATGGACAGCTCATTTCACACCCTGACACAAATTTTTCTTAGGTTAGATTAATGTAGATATTACAGATAAAAACTATTGCCTTTGTCTTTTGCTAAATTTGTTTATAATTTTAGAGTTGAGGCTATCAAGGAATGACCAATTTTCATTTGCAATAAAGAAGCTGAGCTGATATTTTGTTTCAAAGCAAAGACAAGGGCCATATGTATGATAAATGCCATTTTTTATGTATGTGCACATACTAAAAAATGTAAACAGAATTTTGTTCTTACACTAATAGTTTTCCCAATCAACTCTGGTATTCATGTCACTTTTTTCATCTTTGATTTTGTAATGATAGCAATGTTAGTAATAATATGGATGATGTAATGCAGTATAACTAACAATATTACAGCACGAAAATTAATGCAAAATATTTGTACTACCTCTCTGTACTTGTGATTACTTCTACTGCGTTGCTTCTACAGATGAAAGCCTCTGCTGATGCAACTCAAGATACACTGACAGACTGTTTAACCATCCACCCTCTGCATCCAAACCTTTCCCCTCTGGCAAGGCTAGACGACAGTGTGAATCCAGCTCTTGGTGCGTCTCATGAGTCATATACTCCAGCACATTCAAGCCCTGGCTGTTTGCATAAATACATTTGATAAGTGAAGGGGGAAAATGCATAAACTTATGCACCTGCAACCATGTGTACATAATAAGGTTATTTATTAGATTCACAGCCTTGAATTGTCTGTCATCCCTGTTCCTCAGCTGTAACACAACGACAAGAGTCTTACAGCGGCTCCCACCTGGCTTTGTTGGACTCCTTACAGGATAACTACAGGTTAGTTGTAGTAGTGTGCTATTGAGCCGTGTGATGCATTTCTAGAAAATGTTGAATGGTTACATCTGTTAGGCAGACAAAATTACCAGGAATTCAAAACCCAATTCATGCTGTTTCTAAAAACAGGCCATTTCGTGTTATTTAGTGAGCCAAATCACATCTTTGGAACTGTACCCAACACAAATTTAAATGCTTTTATTGTTTTGTTTTTCATGATGAGCTGGAATAATAAGCTCAAACATTCATGGTCATGGCATCAATATTATAAACATAGTTAAAATGACTTTAAATAGCCACTATTTATGATAGAAAGGTTCCCAGAGGTTTTCAGCGATTCTTCTTGTTTATTCTTTATTGTGTGTTTTGAGGGGGTTGGGAATAGCCAGAATCCTTCTTCCCTTGTCAACCCACAGAAAAAGCAGCTCTTCATCTACTCACTTCAAAGAAAGTGATAAAGGATTTCTGTCGTTCTGAGCAGCCAGATGCCTAAGGCTCCTCACTGGGTTTTGGTTGTTCTCGGATCAGTGGTAGGCCCAAGTATTCACTGCAGGACGCTGCGCAGACAATCGACTTGTGAGAGCAGACCTTGCCTCATTGGTCTCCACCACTAGCATCAATGGATGCTATAGCCACCGCAAGAACTGCAAAGGAATTCAATGAGTGAATCATAAAATCTAGAAAATGCAATTTAGGGTCTAATAGGCGAGGAGAACATGCTGAAATTACTATTTTAGTTGTTAAATCAGTCATAAAATCCTTGCAGCTGTTTTCTGTAAACTTTCTGGTAACACTCTGAGTTCTGACTCAGTAAATACTATAAATATAAATAAGTAGTCTTGTTATTTACAAGTAGACTTTGAAAAGGTTTTCTTGTCTATAACAAAAATGATGCCAACAAAGCTGTAGGGTAACATTAATCTTCTTTGATCATTGATTTGTGTTTTCATTAAAGGGAGTTATTATACAAAATCAGTTTTTGAGCTTTATATCATGCTATGATGTCATTCCCTGATCAAAAAACATGACCAAAGTGTTTCTTTGATGCATTCATGCATGTTTGAGAAATACTTGAATTTTGTGGTAAACGCGTGCTGGTAAAAAGCACCGCCCATTTACACAAAGCTCCTCCCTGGAGCTCAGTCTGCAGCCAAATTCAAAGTGTTTAGATGGACTATGAACTAACAACTAACAACTGAAGGTAACAGAGTTGCTTGATTGTGGTATATATATTGTGAGTAATATATAAGTTTATGAGATTTGCAAAGCTTTGCATTGTATTTTTGTTTGTTTGTTTTTGTTTTTTACATTTTACTTAACGTCTCGATGTTTTTAGAACTGAGGTTGTAGAATAGATAGTGTACTGTTTGAGTTCAGTGTTTGGCTCTATGACAAAGCCAAAATGGCCCTCTGGTAGAAAAGAAACTTATCTTTCTCCAGCCTGTACAGAACAAAGTTTGATCATTGATTAGATGCATACTTAAGTTCAGAATGTCTCTGTAGTGAGCCGGAAGTGCTAACCTCTGCTCAAGCATACTGCCCTTTCCAAATAATTAAAGGTTACAGCATGGGTTTTAGCCAAAGGATATTGTTTGAAACTTGTGGTTTTGTTAGCCTTTGACATTAGTGATGTTCTTCCAAAAGTTGATACACAAAACAGAAAAGATTATTTTTCTTAACAAAACTAATGCCAGTCAAAAGCTTGAAAAGTGCAAAAGATGGACACATCAAAACGTGGATTCAGCCTTGACAGCATAGTATGAAGTATTATTAATCTAAGCATTGCTGTTCAGGACTTTTTGTGCCTTCTTAATAAGACATATATATAATTTTTTCCATTTCATCTCACTGAGCAGTGTATTTACTCTGGTTTGAAATATTTCAGGTTTGTTGTTCCTTCTCCTCATCAGCCCATCCCTGGAGACCCATGTGGGCCTTGCCCCTCCACCTGCCACCCGCATCCTCCTCCCAATGGACCTTCCCCGCAAAACAACTGTAATCTGAAGCAGCTCGACCACCATCGTGGCGTGTAGACCAGAGCCCAGGTACTCCATTTCATAATTATTTAGATTGTTGAAGTTTGTCAAAAATGCTCACAGATGGTAACAGAAGAGCTTTCTTTGTATAAACAAACTGTCAAAGTACATACTTTTCCCATAAGAAGCCTATTCAGATGTATAGCTTACAGCGGGTAAAATAAGTATTGAACACATCACCATTTTTCTCAGTAAATATATTACTAGAGGTACTAATGACATGAAATTTTCACCAGATGTTGGTAACAACCCAAGTGATCCATACATACAAAGAAATCAAACCATAAATGTCCAGAAATGAAGTTATTTGTAATAATGTGGAATGGCACAGGGTAACAGTGTTGAACACACTTACTGAAATTTATCTAATACTTTGTACAAAAGCCTTTGTTGTCAATGACAGCTTCAAGACGCCTCCTGTATGGAGAAACTAGTGGCATGCATTGCTCAGGTGTGATTTTGGCCCATTCTTCCACACAAACAGTCTTCAAATCTTGAAGGTTTCGTGGACCTCTTCTATGAACTCTGATCTTTAGTTCTTTCCATAGATTTTCTGTTGGATTCAGGTCAGGTGATTGGCTGGGCCATTCCAGCAGCTTTAGTTTCTTTCTCTGAAACCAACTGAGAGTTTCCTTGACTTTGAGTTTGGGCTCATTGTCTTGCTGAAATGTCCAGCCACGTTTCATCTTCATCATCCTGGTAGATGGAAGCAGATTTTTATCAAGAATGTCTCTGTACATTTTTCCACTCATCCTTCCTTCAATTATTTTAAGTTTGCCAGTACCATAAGCTGAAAAACAGCCCCACACCATGATGTTCCCACCTCCAAACTTCACTGTTGGTATGGTGTTTTTGGGCTGATGTGCAGTGCCATTTGACCTCCAAACATGATGTGTATTCTGGCATCCAAACAGTTCAGTTTTGGTCTCATCTGACCAGACTATATTCTCCCAGTATTACACAGGTTTGTCTAAATGTTGTGCAGCAAACTTTAAAGGAGCTTCAACATGCTGTTTCTTCAGCAGTGGAGTCTTGCGTGGTGAGCGTGCATACAGGCCATGGTGGTTCAGTGCATTACTTATTGTTTTCTTTGAAACAATCGTACCTGCTAATTCCAGGTCTTTCTGAAGCTCTCCACAAGTGGTCCTTGGCTCTTGGACAACTCTTCTGATAATTCTTTTCACTCCTCTGTCAGAAATCTTGTGAGGACCACCTGGTCGTGGTCGGTTTATGGTGAAATAATGTTCTTTCCACTTCTGAATTATGGCCCCAACAGTGCTCACTGGAACCTTCAGACGTTTAGACCTTCTTCTGTAACCGATGCCATCATTATGCTTTGCAACAATAAGGTTGTGAAGGTCTTGAGAGCTCTTTACTTTTACCCATCATCAGATGGTTCTTGTGTGATACCTGGCCATCATTTGGGACTGAACCAGCTGATATTAACTTGCACTGACAAGGGGCAGGCTTGCTTTCTAATTACTGAGTGAGTTCAGCTGGTGTCTTGTCTTTCCATGCCTTTTTACACCTCCCTTTCTTCATGTGTTCAATACTTTTCCCTGTGCCATTCCACATTATTACAAATAACTTCATTTCTGGACATTTATGGTTTGATTTCTTTGTATGTAGGGATCACTTGGGTTGTTACCGACATCTGGTGAAAATCTCATGTCATTAGCACCTCTAGTAATATATGTACTGACAAAAATGGTGATGTGTTCAATACTTATTTTACCCGCTGTATATATTTCCCATTTTTCTTTATGGTGTGTAGCACAGGGCTGCTTTTTTTTCTGTTTAGGCTTAATCAGTTAGCTCCACTCTGCACTCCTTTAAATAGATCGCTTATATTCTCGTTAGACTCGACAGCCACAAAGATGTTGACAAGGTTCTCTGAAAAGCAGGTTCAAAGCAGCTTTTCTACTAGAATGTATCATTTAAGAATAAAAGTGTGAGGTTTTCTCTTTTTACACTAAAAGAAAATTTGTCAAGTTTGTGTTAATGCAGCCTTTTCTGCTGCAGTCAGTAATCACAATGGGGTGACTGCCTCACAGATAACTTTTGAAATGTTCTAAGTACACTTTAGAGACAAATGTGGTCAAGGATTTGTATTTTACCATTTCAAATCACACTATTCTTACAGTCTTCTGTCTCTTTTCACTCCTCTGTAGGATTTGTCCACGTTCAAACTGAGGACACATCTGCTACTCCAGAGTTGCATGGAGGAAACTTTTTTAGATAGACAAGAAATGGAGGAAACTTTTTAAGCGTCTTTAACATCAACACGAGAAAAGTCTCCCACATTTACGCAGAGACGTGTGTTTCTTACCTTTGCACTACTTTAAGCCCCTTTGTTTTTGAATGAACTCTTTCACACTGAAAGCACAAACATTGTTGACATTTAAAAAAACAAAAGTGAAGATTTTGAGGTTTTAACTCCTCACATTTCTGTACCTGACTTAGTAACTCAGTTTCAGCCATCCTCAATCAGCATATTGAATGTCCCTAGAGGATTTGAATGTTTACCTGCTCGGGTTTTACACAACTTGCGTAGAACATGTGGTTCTTCCGGTAGTTTCAGGTGGCATTTTCCACAATGTCAACACTGCAATCAAATCAAAGTATGCGAAGAATATTTTATTAGGTTTTTTTTTTTTTGATCCATGTCTTGGTCACTATAGTAACAAGACAGCCTTATTATTTCACTGTAATGTTCGTACATATTACCTGTTGCCTAAATATAGTAACTTGCTATAAGGGCTCCTGTGTTTAGATAAGGAGGCAAATTAGTGTTTGTGATGATGACAGTAGATTTGAATGCTTTATTATTGTACATTATTTGCACATCACAACATAGATGTCCTCTGAAAACATGAAAACACTTTTTTGTTACGCACCGTAATTGCATTTCATTTTCATATGGAAAAGATTGAAACCTGGAAGCTTAAAACCTGCTCAACATAGAGATAGATAACTGAAATATTAGTTTACCAGTTTTTAATCTAGATGAAAAGAAATGAAACACATAAGCAAGTCAATTTTTTTTAACTAAACATTTTGCAACAATCAGCTGAAATCGAATGTGTAAAATTTGGTAGCATGTGTAGAAAATATACACATTTGTATATTTGGTCTGATTTAGAACAGAAGTAAAGGATTTGAACTTTTGATATTACGTTGTGTTTTATGGCAATGTGAAGATTTCATGGATTTGTTTTCTGCGTCAGCGCTTTTTAATTATTGAATTTTTTTTTAACTGCAGCCCTGTTGTTTGCTCTGTTCAACTATATGCAGAACTTCTTAAGTGGAGTTCACATGTTTCCTTGTTACCTACAGCTGTTTTCTTTGGAGACTTAGCCTTCCTTGCACAGTCCCCCCAAAAAACATCATATTTATATATATTTGATAATTTCCTGTGAAATGAGATGGACTTCAACAGCCACACAACTCTGAACATGACAACACAGGTAGAGAAAAATGTTTTAATAACCTTTTTAAATGCTGGTTGCACTCAGTGGTGGGCACAGTTCCCCTAAAGCACTAATAGGGGAACTAATTTACTGATTAGTGCTTTAGGGCTTTTGCTAAATTTAAAATTTATTAGTGGATTAGCACTTGCTAAATTTATAGGCTAAATTTAGAAGCACTAACTGAGGTCTATAAATGCTATTGATCAACATTGACGTTAACTGAAAGTGAAAGCTCTCGCATATTTTGTTCATTTTGTGTGTCACTTATCCACAGGTAAGATATTGACAATATATGAACTCAAATACAGCTGTGGAATGTCAATAATAAGTCTTAAGAGAGCAACATGGCAATATGTGACTCAAGTTGTCTGTTGAAGAATGTTCCATAGGTTGACTGGGTTGTTTTAGTGCTTTAGAATTAGCTTTTGCTAAAACTTTCATTGCATTAGTGCTTTATAATTAGGGGACCTAAATATTTGAGTTAGTGTTCTAGGACTAGTGGAACTAATTTTTAGAGCAGTGCTGACCACCATTGGTTGTACTTAAAAAGCAGTACCTTTGTGATCAATTCATCTAATTTCAAAAGAAACTTGTTGAAATTGTCTCTTAGCAGGGAGTTTCATCACAGGTTATTGTTCAGTGTTGATTTATTTAACAGAAAAGATTATTAAAAATCAAGCCTGACGCAGCGTTGCAGCACTAAAGCTCTTTAGCATCATTATCTCCAGACATGAATAACATAAAACCTAAAAAATTCAGAGGTCAATGTCAGAAACACTCAGCCAGCACTGTTTTTAATTTATATTCATATATATCAATCGAACTGTGGATCCTGGTGGCACCAGACCTTCATGTCCACTTATAAAAAAAACTGAAAAGACAAAACAGTTTTACTTTAAAATAACTTTTAGCAAGAGAGTTAAGCGTTTTTTGTTTTTTTTTACAAGTGTTAAGCTTCAGATGAATTTCAGCAGTCACCTAGCAACAACAGCTTTTCCAAAAAGCATCTGTTTAGTAAGTGCTAATCAAATAAAAAAGTGCCGTGCAGTGGACACAGGTGGATGGATAAGCTTTGTGCTTTTTAACAATACTCTCTTTGTTCACTCACTCGTCTCAGTTTAAAAGTTTTGCATGAATGTTTTTGACCTACTTGTGCCATGTGGCAAAAATGCTTCAACCTGTGTATTGGTGAGAAATGCTGAAATGTATTGCTAAGTAAATCATTTGTGTTTTAAGAAAATAACCATGAGCTGAGACGGGCTGAAAATCAGGACCTCTGAAAGGTGAGAATTACAGCAGAAATGAAATGTTTCATAGAAGAACTGTGACAACCTAAACCCTACCTAACATCATGTATAATGAGTGAGACGTACTAGGTGCTGCCTGCGCTTCACAGTGTGACACAGTCATGACAGGCATTCACTCAGATTTCACCTAAAGTGTCATTCCACCAGCTTTGCTCCCTTTTTGTTGCTCTCTGGAGGTTTTTGTGTTATTCTGTCATAGGATGGAAAAGTGCAGAGACTGATCTCGACTTAGACAAAATGGCACGTGATCTAAATCTCTTGTATGAACAAACTGAGACAGACTGTAAATTCTTTTATAGCGGTTTATGATGTCTTTTAAAACTGATGCAAACATTGTGTCCTGTTCAGTACTTAAAATAGATTTGTCTTACTCAGTTTATTTATGTTAATATACAATTATTCCACTGAGAAAGAGGGACCCCCATGACTTATTTAAGAACATATATTGCCATGGTAAAGAAAAAAGGGTCAGAAGCAGCTTTGGGGCAAATTCTTTCCCAAAATGTGCTAATTGCAAAATGGGTAACCTGAACATTGGTTTTCAAATATAACTCACCTATGTTCTGACTGACTTTTTTCCCTCTAAGGTCTAGAATATATATGTTTAAAATTTCTTTTTAGTGACAACCATGTTGATTTTCTTCATAACCCTAACTGATTTTTTTAGGCCTGCTTCTGTCAACGCAGAGAGAAGCAAAGAGAAACTGTGAGCCAGATGTGGGGATTACAGTAAATGCTAGAAAAGCTGCCCCACATAAAATGAACTACCATAAGTATTGAAAAAGCTTTGACGCTTAATTTGAATTACTGTAAATGCTGGAGAAGATGTGCCACCTAAAATTAATTAATGTAAATCTGGGAAAAGCTGCACTGCCTCAGTAAATTACACTTAAAACTTGTGCAAGTAAAAACTTATACATTAAAAATTTTTTACCAAAATTTATCAAGTGTTCTGGGTCCAAACAAAACGTAATGCAGGGGTGTCAAACTCATTTTCACCAAGGGCCACAAGAGTGTTGCTCTCAAAGGGTCAGTTGTACTTGGCTTTGATGTTTTGTGTTTAACTTCACCTAAATATGAAACAACACTTTCCTCATCCCATTGCTATGGCTGAGCACTGCTAAAAATATAACTGAGCTCTATGTGGTGTTAAATGTGAAACAAATGTTACAGAAACACAGTAAAAGTAGGAGAGTTTTACTTGTGGGAGATGTAGTTTATAGTCAATGCTGACTTTAAAGCAGCATGCTAATTTTAAGACATCTTTAAAGCTCCCTTGAGCCACATAAAATGGGCCACATTTGGCCCGTGGGCCTTGGATTTGACACTTGATTTAGGGGATCCAGAGCACAGTCCAGACCTGATCTACAGAACAGAAAAGACATATACTATAGAGTTAATTGATTACATATTCAGTTGTATTACCAGTGGTGGGCACAGTTCCCCTAAAGTTCTAATAGGGGGAACTAATTTCCTGATTAGTGCTTTAAAGCTTTTGCTAATTTTAAAATGTATTAATGGATTAGTTTGCTAAATATATAGGCTAAATTTAGAAGCACTAACTGATAAATGTTATTGATCAATGTTAATGTTAACAGCTGACGGTGAAAGCTGTCACACATTTTGTTCATATGTGTGTCACTATCCACCAAGTGACAATGTAGCGACTATCAAATCCAACCTTTTGGTCGTTTCTGGGTGCGGGGGAATCCAGGCCTTTGACGCGCTCCAATCAGTGTAATGTCCAGACTGGGAGATATGTTTGGGGATACTCCCATTTATAAAATTATTTTTGATTATTAAATGTTACAAAGTCCAGAGTGGAGGTCTATGGCAGCTTGCAAAATAGATGGAAAATTATGGTAAAATGTGAATATGAGAGAGATTAACCAGCATTTTAACAGAGAGCTGTAAAAACCGTGTGACCTCCCTACACCCTTCACCTTTCCTTCTCACCTTGCCACCTATATAGATTTCCCCTCCACACCYCCACCAGTGGTAGAGCAAAAATATAGGTCAAAGTGTCAATCCAAATAAACAAACACTGCCACCAAACCAAAATGAACTATAAAAGCAAAATAAGAACCCAAACTATACCCAGAACACCCAGAYCTACAAATGGCTCCTATACACCGGCCCCAATTGTGTATACAGCACAATTCAACAAACACCAAAAAAGGAGCCACAAAAATGTATAGTCCCAAGCATCTTCTTATTTTCTTCTTCTGCTTCACAGGGCTTCTTGAAGGAGGAAGATTTTGGATATGGGCCTTTCCAGCAGGCCCGTCTTTGTCCTCAACTGCACAGCACGCACCAGTCCATTTTTGTCTGGATAAGTATTTGTAATTCTTCCCAGGATCCAGGAACCTCGAGGAGCAGACGTCTCCATGCCGTCTCATGGCACAACTGGGCGATGAGACGGCACCAAAAATGTGGACTGTCATCCTATATTCAMTTAGGCTGGCTGAAGTATCTCCTGACGGCCACCACAAGAAGCGAAGAAAGTTCACATGTTTCTCTGACACCTTCACCTGATGAAACATAGCCTTTATGTCTGTCARCAGTGCAATTTTCTCCTCTCTGAATCTGGTTAGAACACCAAAAAGAGAATTGGTTAAATCCGGCCCCTGTGGCAGCTGGTGGTTTAATGAAGTACCCTTATAACTTGCCCCACAATCAAACACCACTCGCAAGGTCCTCTTCTTTGGGTGGTAGACTCCATGATGGGGCAAGTACCACACACCTCCATCCTTAGGCTCCAACTGGTCATGAGGAACAACTTCAGCAGAGCCTTTGCCAATCCAGTCAGTAACAAACACTGCCACCAAACCAAACTGAACTATAAAAGCAAAATAAGAACCCAAACTATACCCAGAACACCCAGAACTACAAATGGCTCCTATAGACCAGTGGTTTTCAAACTTTTTATCTTCTGACCCACAAAATATTTATGGCAAAAACTTGTGACCCCAAATATTACTGGTCTGAGTACATGAACTACGTTAATAACCCTAAAAACACAGGCTTTTTGACAATCTAAACAGCTTGTACACAAATATAAATACTTATTTATGCTTATTTTGTGTTTTTGTAGTAATTACAGAGAAAATATTACATCAGTAATTATTTTATTAGCCTTTAAATTGATTTCTGGAGATTATCCAAGGTGCTTCATGACCCATAATTGGGTCCCAAGTCCAACTTTGGGAACCAAAGTGCAGTGGTTCCCAAACTTTTCAGCTTTTGACCCACAAAATAACAGTAGCAGAGACCTGTGCCCCCAACTTTTTTCGGATGATAAACATTTGTATCAGGTCAACTAAACATGGGCATAGTAACAATATTTTTATACTACATTGATCTGTTTTAAATACACTAACCTCACTCCTTTGTAACAAATAAGGTAAAATGTAATTAATTCAGAAAATCTTTTCAGGACCCCACCTTGATGTTTCGGGACCCCACTTTGGGTCCCGACCCCAACTTTGGGAAACACTGCTATAGACAATATACTGACAATACATGAACTCAACTATAGAATGTCAATTAAGAGAGCAACATGGCAATATGTGACTCATTGTAAATTGAAGAATGTTCACGGGTTGATTTGTTTATTTTAGTGCTTTAGATTTCATTTTTGCTAAAACTTTTAGTGCATTGGTGCTTTAGAATTAGGGGATTTTGAGTTAGTGTTTTAGGACCAGTGGAACTAATTTTAGATTAGTGCTGCCCACCACTGCATATTACTTTAGTTTTTCTTATACAATTCAAATACATACAAAAATACATATAAATTCGTATTAAGAATATGCACACAACTGCAAAAGAAAATCCCCCTAAAATAAAGAACAATTAATCTGTCACTATGAATTATCAGCAAAGACCCGGTGATATTTATGAAAATACCACAATTAATACTTCTCAATGAAAGTTGTGAATTAGAGAATTGTGATGGCCTTTTAATAAATAAAAGGTTTTTTTAAGCTAGTGTAGATAAAAAGTGCAGGCATACTAACAAAAACAAATCATTTTTAAGAAAAATCAAAATAAAAGTCTCGTAAAAGAAAGTGCGGCCGCAGCTTTGATGTAATGGTGAGCAAAAATAGAAACATATTTTCAGCGGAGCGTTGGTCGTGATGCGTTCAGGGCGTGAATAGATTCATCTGAAGGTATATCTGGACGCTTGAATCTCCTCCCACCTGCCTGGTGAGAAGGCTGCGCGCTGCCGATGAGTTTTGTAGCAACTGTTGCCCAGTGAGGCAACGCCATAGCCACCGTAGTCCTGGCGACTGTAACCCACCAACAACAACCTCTGGCTCCATCATTACCACCTCCTCCACCATCCTCATCTTCATCAACCAGTTCACCGCTCAGGTTTGCTTCAACTCTTTTTTTTTAACCGTTTTTTTTTTTTTTTAAAGCCTGAGCGCAGCTCGTTTCCTTCCTCGCCCGGGGTGGATTGTGGGGTTTTTATTGAGGTAGATTTCGGACGCGCTGTTGCTTTTTTTAATGTTTTGTCCGCCGCTGGATTGGAGGGAGGCTCGGCGAATAGCTGGGGTAGTAGTTTCTTTGTAACGTGTTAGCCTGCTTTGCTAAACAGGGTTCCCCGTGGAAACTCACCACCGCGGGAGGTCCTGCTAACCCGCGGAAACGAGCTATCCCCGCCTTTAGGAGCGCCGTGAGGCTAAAACGTGTTTTAAAATGACGTTTTTGACGTTTAGTTTTAACTTTCCACGCTGAGTGGTAGCAGAGCCCGAGGCTAGTGTTGCTAACTGGTCAGCTGGAGCAGGTGTCTGTTGCTAACGCCAGCGATGCCTCCCTGACAATGCCTGTTGGTATCCCGTTTTTTTTCTTTCTTTAGGGATAATGTTACGATTGGTTTTTGCAAGTTTGCCTTTCGGGTTTCTCAACTCGTGAATCGTTCCGTCAGTTTAGTGGTGAGAGCTAGCCCTGCACTCACTAACTGGTTGACAATAGCTAAGCCATTACTTTCCCTTTTGTCTTAGGCAGCTTTGCTAGCTCTCCATCTGCCCTCTTTGTGGCATCAGATGGCTGATAAGCTTTGTGATAACACCGGGCTAAGTTCTGCAGCTTGGAGGAAAATAACCTTTTCTGGGTTAAAATTAAAACATGTTTATGTTTTACCAAACCATTCGTTTTAAATGTCAAAATCCTAGCTGATAAACGTCAGCATATACCCCCTCTGTTACCCAGAATTATAGACTAATGGGAAAGTTTGCACCTTTCCAGCCTAAAAAAATCTTTCTAATTGCATTTCAGGAAAGTGAATAAACCAGTTTATGTTTGCGTACATTTTCCTCCCAACAGAATAAGAGATATTCATTTAGGGTTTGTTTAATTCTGTAGGTGTTTCATTTAAATCAGATTTCTTAGTGTTGCATCACATATATCTTGGGTTCACCAGGTCCCCTGTTCACCTGCAGCAACTGATTCCCATTAGGAAAGAAAACAGGTGTGTTTGTGTTTGTGTGTGTGTTTTTGTCTAAGGAAGGGAGGGCAGGTGCGTCTCCACTGGTGTGAGACTCCAGACGTTCTGATTTATCCTTCGTCTGTCCTCAATGGAAGAGAAAAGAGATTCATCAGTAAAAGTTCAGCGAATCAAAAATAATGTTAAAACTTTCTGTAAAGGAAAGAGTTGGTTAGTTTGGACGCAGCAACGCCGGAGCGGTCCACTCCGACTGCATCAACGTACTAACTCTTCAATTTGTACGTGTTGTGCAGGTAATGCTCAAAATAATTCCAATCCGTTGACGCAGATGACCTAATTTGGTTCCCATCTTACCACCACCCCCACCCCCCTGCCTCACACACGCGCACACATAAACAAAACGGGATGCTAGGAACTGCCAACTATCAGATCGTGTTACCACTTACCTGTAGTCCAGAAGGGCAGAAATAGTACCATGCCACCTGCTGCCCGGATCCTGTTGCATTTCCAATCACTTAAAGAGAGGCTGATTTATTCAATTATTCTGTCGGCCATTTTCCTGGCTTAGCTGTGTGTTCAGTTTGTAATTCTCCACAGCCTTTCTTTCTGAAATGTTAATGAAATACTCATATCTATTTAAATGTAATTCCCCCCACTTTCCCTCTCTCTCTCTTACACCTGGCCTTTAAAAATAAACAGTAGAATTTAAAATAGTTGTAATAACTTGTGTGTCTCTGGTAGGGCTGCAACGATTAATCGATTAATCGACAACTAATCGATTATTAAAATAATCAACTAATTTAATAATCGATTAATCGTTTTCTTTTTTTTTTTTGTTGTTGTTCTTTGTTTTTCTCTCCAAACTGCTTTGACACCTTCCACTGCCACGTCTGCCTTTCTGTCCTTGACACACATGCACAGTCGTGGTAACTGGGGTAGGCCGTGGACAATCACAAGTAGGGCTGCACCGATTAGTTGAAATAATCGATGACGTTGATTATGTAAATTTGTCGACGCAGATTTTTTTATTATCGATTCGCTGTATTACATAACCACCACGTGAATGTTCACGCAATTCCATTTCGGTACCTAAATGCATCATTGCGACCGTATTGGCATAAGAGTGGTGAGTTTTTCATGCTTGTTCTGAACGCAGCATCGCGCAAGAGCGTAATGACGTCAGCAGCCGCTGCTTCAGTTCAGTCTGAAGCTTGAAAACAAGCCTCGCAGATCCTGGAGTTAAATTTACCGAGCAGACCGCCTCTGAATTATCTGGTGGATTAATTATCTTGTGAACATGACGTTCGCTTGCTCAAAGTAAAAAAAGTACCACCACTTTCTTTATTTCATCCACCATTAAACAGAGACCGGTGTTAGGTCGAGCCATGTTCCCCCATCAGACGGTTCCCCCATCAGACGGTTCCTCCAGCGTTTCAAACAACAGAGGAGCTTCCCGACACACGTCTGACCTAAAGAGCACAAGCAGCCAACAAGTGTTGGACGTGTTCTGGATGTTCAAAACGTAGCTTAAATACCTTTTATTAATTTTAACTGCATCCTCTTTTGTTTATTTGATTTAAACTTATTTGCCTTCCATGGACCTCCATCACACATTTGTCTAGTGGGGAAATGACATCAGTAGAAACACGTGGAGCTGGATATTAATTTGTGCAATAAGACAAAACAGTCTTGTTGTTTTCAACAGTTTTCACCTTAAAGA